CCTGATTTTCTCGATTTTAATCCATCTTTTTTAAACCTTAGCGTTGACGATTGGTGCCTCGGAATTAAAAATTTAATCCTCCACATATCGCATGAGGAATTTATAAAATCTTGATCCTTTTCTTGATCAATAAATTCAAAAATTCGAACACAAACTACTCAATAACTTTATTAACATGTTTGAAGTCGTAACAATAACAAATGTCTACAGTGCAGTTATAAAAGGGACCAAAATTAGAACGACTCTGAGCTGACATGGATGAATGTTGCTATGATCAATAGACATGTTGGATCCTTCTTCGTTAAAATTTCTTTAATAAGAACGATCGCTGCTACCAATTGATGTCCATGGCATGATGCTACTCTAATTCACGTTGTCATATTCATTGGATAGTTTAAATCATGAATTTTTTTTGTAAATCTCTCATTACCAAACCCTGTTCGACATATCCCACTGCAACAGTCAATGACTTTCAACCACCGTGGTTCTTGAGAGTCAGAAGGTCTCCACCAGCGTCCACTAAATATGTCGCGAACCACCGACGAAAACAGTGCCCAATGTATATAACGTAGAATCTTATAGTTCCAAAAATTCAGCGATTAGACGAGAAAATTTTAAGAGGATTTTTTTCCAATGGGTTGTTTGGTGTATTTTTTATCTCTGTAATTTAAAATTTTAAATAATTGTTTCGAATGAATAATTTGAATGAACATTTTCAGGCTTCAGTCTGACTGAATAACTAATCGACTTCTTTTGCGATTTTTCTGTTTTAGTGTAAGTCACATTATTTATTATCAGGTATTTACTGTCAGAAGCTTCACACAAAAATTTGTTGACCTCACCAGTAAACATTTTCGATTATTTCGGTTTTTACAACAACTAGTTGTGAATAAAATACTAATTAAGATCTTAAAACCTGCCGAAATCGGTTTTTTTCTTTAATTTTTGAGTCGCCTTTAATTTCAAAAAATATTACCATGACATGTTTCCATAACAATTTTTCATTCAAGCCTGAAACATTTTTCTTCTTTCGCCAGTTTTTCTGTTCACAATTATCATAACAGTATACAAGGTGTTCTGAAAATCGGGCACCAAGTCTATGACACATTGTTCAGGACCATCTATGGATCTTTTTTTCGAAAAGATTTATTCCGTCCGATATTTTTCTATTTTGTTATTCTGTGGAGGTATCAAGATTCTTCAATAAATGCATGATTTCTTCTGACGTAACTTATTTTTTCCTGTTCAATTTTTTTACAAATTTTGAAAATGGGTACAAATGGAATTACAAATCCTGGCGCTTCCACCATTTTTTCCCAAACACCCTAGATCCTTTAAACTGGTGTAAAATTTATCATTCTAATAGGAAATTTTTAAGCCAATGTTTCGTAGATTAATAAAAAAAAATAGATTCTCTTTTGTTTACTGGGATCAGTTTAGGAATATCCGTCGAATTAAGAGTCATTCGTATTCGTTTAATCATGTACCAGTTTTATTATTTTCTTCAGGTATCGAGATCCTTAAAAAATATGCGATTTTTTTAATTCCTTATACAATATTCATATTAAATCATATACTTAATAAAATTTTTAATGTCATTTGTACATTCTATAGACAACGAATCTAATGTTTCTTTGTCAATTTTTCGAAAAATAAAAAAACGATTTATGAGGATCACGTTGTCAAATCGGTCTTAAGAAAGCTCCATGTGCACTTGGTTAATATTTATATGGAAAGAAGCATGCTACGCGTATGTTTCAAATAAGTTTTTACTTTACAAATTTTGGGAAAAGTGGAGTGAGCCGTTCTTGATTTAATCAATAAAATAAATGTAGTCATTTTTTGCATCACCCTGTATAAGCAAATGGAAAAAATATGACTGCAAATGCAATAAATTCAAAAGTGTGCGGTTACTTTATTGAACGATAAAACAAACAAAATAACAATGAGAAACGATCCTGCAAACAAAACTCAGGCGGCAGCTCTTTGTACAGGTGGCTGCCTGACTGCAAGTCATAAACTAGTGAAACGCCCGGAACTGGCACAATTTAGCATTTTGGACAATCTCGAGCTCATATATGTCAACAAACGGTCAGTCGAAGACGAAATCGTATTTTTGTAATAACCAAATTATAATAATAATAATAATTTTATTTCCAGAGAGACAAATACATTTGTATGGAAATCGTCAGTATAGAAAACAAAACAAAAGAGAATACATTTACAAAGACATAAATCAAACCAAGAATTCATTCACTGTATATAAACACTTCTTAACTAAATAATGTTTTAGCTTATTTTTAAAGAGAAGCAAATTTGTAGTAGCTGTAATTTCCATAGGTAACCTATTATACATTTCTAAACCTGATACAAACAAACAATTTTTACAAATGGTTTTTTTCTTGAATTGAACATGAAACATTTTTTTTTGTCTTGTATTTTTGTCATGGATTTGATAATTAATTTTTTTGAGTCACCCTGTATAAGCAAATCTAAAAAATATAAATGCAGTGACAAATTACAAGTATAGTCTGATCATATTTTGCACATTTTGTAAAGGATTTATTCGGCAAAATTTTGAGATGACGTAATCAAGTTTTTGGGTTGATAAACAGATACATTTTGATTAAAAATCAGAGACGGTAGATAGACGGACAGATAGAGAGAGAGAGAGAGAGAGGGGGAAACGGGAGACCTATTTCTTCATGCTGTAAGTGTCATGAAAGGTCGAGAACACGTAAAGGTAGAGAGTCGGCCAACGGACTCGATTACAATGCTTCCTTCGCTTACGCTCGGGAACTAAATCAATTTAATAATTTTTCAATTTGTATTATTTTGAATGCAAAAGAAGTGCTTTTTCTTTAATATTAAGTTTGGTCCCTCGTGATATTAAAAAATTAAGTTGGCCTTGTATATCCAAAACAAATGTTGATGGAAATTTGAGTAATATTTCAGAGGATAGAGTTTAAATACTTTTACCCATACCCCAAATTTCAGTGCGGTCTGATAAACATTTCTGGAACTATATATAACCTGTTATTAGTTCTTTTAACGCAAACCTTAAAGCTCTCAGCGAAAAGTTGAATTATGGAAGAACCAAAAATTTTAAAAATCGAAAAATTGAAAAAAACAGAATTTGAAAAGTTCCCAAAACTGATAATGTTGAAAAAATTGACAAATCGGAAAGCCGAAAAATTTTTAACATCGAAAAACCAAGATGGCAAGAAGTCGAAACATAAAAAAATCGTAAAACCGCAAAATTGAATCATCGAAGAATTGAAGAATAGAAATATTGAAAAACTGAAAAACCGAAAAATCGAGTAATCGGAAAATCTGGAATTTCAAACACTGGTAAATTAAAATATCGAAAAATTGAAAAATTGAGAAATCGAAACTCCAAAATTTAAAAAATTAAAAAATTGAATAATCGGATAACTGAAAAATCGAAACATCGAAAAATTGGAAGTAAAAAGTAAAAAATCGAAAAAACGAAACATCGAAAAATTCAAAAACTGATACACCGAGAAATTGAAAAATCAATGGATCGAGAACTAGAGGATTCGAAAAGTCAAGAAGTCGAAAAACTGAAAAACTGAAATAGCCCAAAATCTAAAAATCGAAAAGCTAAAAATTTAAAAATTCGGAAAACTGAAAAATTGAAATATAGAAACAAAGAAAAGAGAAAGCTCGAGGAAACGAAAAATTCAGAACTTTAAAAGTTTAAAAAAAAATATCGAAAAGTTGAAATTTTGAGAAATTGTAGTATAAAATTGAAAAGTTTAAAAACCGAAAATTTGAAATTCAAAATGTACAAAATCGAGGAATCAAAAAAGTCCATAAGTCAAAAATTCGAAAAGTTGAAGAATTGACATATCGAAAAATTTCAAAATAAATTGAAAAATCGAAAAACTGAAAAATTACAAAACTGGAAGAAATATCCAAAAATTGAAAAATTTTAAAACTGAAAAATCGGAATATTAAAAAAGAAAAATTGGAAAATCGAAAATTTAAAAATTCGGAAAATTTTAAAACTGAAATATAGAAGAACTGAAAAGTCGAGAAATCAAAAGATTGAAGACTCGAAAAACTCAAAAATTTTAATTTAAAAAACGGAAAACTGAAAATCCCAAAAGTAAAAAATCCAGAAGTCTAACAAACGAAAAAATCGAAGAATCGAAATACTGAAAAATCCCAAAGCGGAAATATCGAGAAATTAAAAAGTAGGAGAAGAATTGAAGATTCGAAAAATTCAAACATTCCAGTATTGAAAGAAATCCAAAAATTGCGAATTTAAAAAAATGAAAAATTTAGAAATCGAAAGAGCGTCAAAATAGTGAAAAATTGAAAAATGTAAGTATTTAAAAATCGTAAAATGGAAGAAGAGAAAAGTTGAGAAATCGTAAAACTGAAACATCGGCAAATTGAGAAACCGAAAAATAAAAAAATCGACCAGACGAAAAGCCGAAAAATCCCAATATCGAGAATAAAAATTCAACGCGTATTCATAAACCACATGCTCAGGACTATCGTAAAATGACATCATCTATTGCTGAGGGACTTGAGCGGTTAAACTTTGACTAACAATAGTAAAAAACTTGTAATAATAAATTGTAAAATGTTGATATAGATCAAATCGCTTAGAGTCGATATTGGCCTGAGTACGCTCTGGTCTGTAGATCGAACAAGTTCTCAGGCGACGAAAAGACTCTAACTAATTAAAAATTCTAAATCATAGTTATATGGCAACTTCGCCTTCCTTCTGATTGAACTTAGCAGTCAAAATCAATGTCATTCAATACTAAGATAAAACAATAAATTGAAATTGTAAAAATAAAATCTAAAAAATACCGAACTATTCTGATGATGATACCGAAAACAAATTAAAACTTTATTTAAAAATTATAATCGAGTGAGGTGCACATAACTAGCAAAAATTGGAATCAAGAAAATACAATACGTAAATTAAGCTAAATAATAATAATCATGTTTAGAAACCAAAGTTATTTATTTCTCAGACTAAGTTGGTATAGGAGAGCAAAATACGACCAGGCAGTTTTGAGAATCTGTAAAATAATTTTTTAATAATATTTAAATACTCAAATTTGCAAACTTACTGTCATAAATGTAGCTAAAGAAAGGTAAAAAACATTGAAAGCTGATATCTTGATTGGATTAATAACATTTATAACAAAAATTAATAAATTCCTTTTAACATTTAGGGGTAAGTCAGTCCAGTCTGACTCAAATACTGCATATGAAACCAAGTTGCTCTAAAAAGGATTTGATTAAAACGTCTGAAACATGTAGGTTTTAATTAATCTAATTCCAGTAATTTGAATTTATGGCACAAAATTAATATTTACTTTATTTTAATTTATTTTAAATAAGTTCGTTTAGTCGTACAGTTCGACTATTATTTACATGTACTTACTCTTAATTCTACTTCATTCCCATACCAACAATACATAAAAATCTGAGCAGTAATGGCAACTCCAAATGAAACAAGCGAATAAAATTCACTAGAAAATGGCACCACCTAAATAGATAATTTGCTAAAAAAAATCCCGAAACATTTTGCATAACTTACTATGCTTAACTGAAACATTGTTATTCCAATAGATATTCCACTTATGATCAAATGCGAAAAAAATATCCAATTAAAAAATTTACTGCAGTCTTCAACAAAACTAAAATTTACAATCTCACTATAAAATAAATTCTTCGATTTAAACCTACCTTAAAATTCTCTTGTGATGTAAAACGCACATAATCAAACTCTTGTTGAAGTCGCTAGACATCTTCGTAAAATTTCTTAAGTTATCACTCAGTATATCAAACTGACATTTCATATAAACATTGAAAGTGTACATCAAATTATCAACATTGAGATGAACCAAAGTCAAATAAGTTGCACTAAATACTTGAAAACCGTACGTAATTTCGTACAAAGGTGAAATTCTGTAATCGTATGGATACCACGCTAGAAACGGTAAACGCTTTTCTTCCGCAGACGAATCCAAAAGTGGGTAGATCAACCAGAAGGTATTACATGAGACACTCATAGCTATGAACATCCGGTAAACAGATTTCCAAAATTTGATACTAGATTCAATCAAAACTTTTTGTTCATGATTGCTCTTTTGAAACCAGTTGCTTTTTAAAAGAGCCATTCGTTCTTTCAGCTTTTTCGTATTCTTTATAACAAAGAAAACTTTGAAAATCGCCGTAATTTCTATCAAAATTATGTACGCGATGGCAACGACGGATTCGAAGTTGTTACCGACGAAGTAAATGTTAATCACTTGTGTGAAGATGTGCCAGGCGACGAAAAGCGTGACGACAATGCCACAATATACCATGTAGAAACCTGGCTTGTAGACTTCGTTCTTTCTTGGCCACAAACCCATTACTTTCAAGAACAGAATGTTCAAGTTGATGGTATTTTTCCAGTCGTGATGGACTTCATCCATGTTCAGGTCGAGTTGATGATAAATATTGAGCAAGTGTATCAAAAACTGTTTCAAAAGTAGTACAGTAATTTTCCCAGTACTTATACATTTATATGATTGGTTTTTACAGCCAATCATTGCTTCTGCGCAAAATATGTGGGTTATAGTATTAATTTACAAGCAGATGAAGCTTAAAACAAACTCAATAATTTTTATAGACGAAAATAAAGTTTTTTAATTGTTACATGTGTATTTTTTACTATTTATATGTATATTTTAACGAAACCGAACAAACCTGGTCAAGGACACCCCTTTCAATAAAAACTGTCTTCTTGAATATTGAAATGCATTTTTAAACTCGCTCTTTACTAACCTAACAATTATAAATTATATTATTAACTTGTTTTCATCATATTTAAAAACTGGCGTCGAAAATTAAATTTCTCTTAGCGTAAAACCTGTAATTAAGGTGACACTGATGAAGAGCAAACTAAATTATACACTTTTTCTTTGAATAATTTTCCCTCACTAAGTCAGTTAATTGGCATCAGAGAATAATTAATTCGGGAATTACATGTATTTTTAATAGACCCAAACGTTAAAAGTGTAATTATCTAATTACAGGAACACACCCCAAAGTTCATTGGTGTTGAGTCTTTCGTGAAATTGTTAATTTGTTATTCATTATATCTAGTGTCTTCATCCATCACAGTTGTGTTAATTGGTAAGCAATTTTTTGTCTTAAGAGCAAAATACACTGAATTTTATCAAGACATGTTTACTAAATTATATTTCCTTCAAATTCCGTTAATTTTCAGCACAAATACCGGCTTATTTCAGTGAAATAATGTAACTATTTTAGATCGACTCGTGAGTTTTGGAGCTAAGTAACAAATAAATGTTCATTAATTTTGGTGGTTTAAAAAAAATTTGTATCAAAATTTTCTACGAAAATTCCACACAGCTTTCAGTACCAAAATAAATGACTTTTTTGGAAAATAATTGGACCAAAGTGTGACCTTTGAATTGAACTGAATTTTTCTCCGTTATTTTTTGAAGACAAAGTGAAAATAATTAGAGATTCATGTTGCTGAGAATATTTAACAGAAAAATTACCCCAGTTTCCACCATTTTTACTTTTTGAAGTAAATAAAATGAAATCGTGAAGGCGCTGAGATTGTAACTAATTTTTGTGAATATTGTTAATTCAAAAATTCCTACGAAAATTGAAGTATCTGGATATCCGCAGTAAATAATCCAGCACAAATGTGAACAAAGATAAGTAAGAACTCAGCAAAATTTTTTCCAAATAAATGCACTTTTCTCCGTAATGCTGTTATAACAGTAAATTATAATATTATGGACCTCTATACCCTTGTCTCAGCTAGGCAACCAACAAAACACATAAAGAATCGATTAGTTTGTGAACAACGATATAGTGAAATGCTCTTTCAGAAGTACACATTTTTTTTTTGTTTGATGAAGCCAAGTCCTCAATATTGGTTAAAATTTTGCAATCTTAATTCTCGCTAATTTTATCGTTCCCATCACGTATTCAAAATTTCCAGAGATGTAAGCAATTCTAACAATTTCCTGTAAAATTTAAAATGTTATATTCTTTTAAGTAGTAAATTAGTTATTATTTTAAAACGTCAAAAGTTTATGGCATTCGAAATATCGTTTTTTTGGTTTCAACAGATTGTATTTTTAGTAAGTGCTTGTCAAATTTTTCCAAATTTTCTAGGTTTTACACTTAAAAAGATATTTTCTATTTTCGTTTGATAATTTTCACTGTAAGTCTTTTTTTTTGACAAAATCGTCAAAAATGTCTATTTTTTGGTTGAAAATTTTTGTAATTGAAGCTTAAACAACAACAGGTTAAGGTGTCTTTAAATCGAATTTTTAAAAATCTATGATACTTTTCATACTTTTGAAGATGGTTTTATCACAATTGCTTCTCTCTATACATTTTCTCAGTATTTTAATGCTCCTAATCTGTGAAAACTAAAATATAGTACTTTTTTAAACGATGGTGGAAAAATTCTACATTAATACAATTTATTTTAAATAATTTTTTGACAAGGATTTAAAAAAATTGAATAACTAAAGAAATTATGTACTCAGACTTAATTTTATGTGTCTAAGAAAGTTTTGTGTCAACCATTTTGACAAACGTACAATTTTTGTTTGTGATCTACAATTCCCAGAATACGAAAACACAGGCTAAGGAAATATAGTAATCGACTCTATCGGACGAATTGCCAGTTTTAAGTACGAAAAAAGTAGTCTTTCGTTTCCGCCTGTCTGTCGGTTTATCTGTCTGTCTGTTTGTCTGGTGTCTGTATCCATTTTTACGTCCCGAACGTCCGTCGGTCGACTCCCTACTTTTACGTTTTCGCGACTTTTCATGACCCCTAGAGTCCGAAGAAATAGGTCTCCCTTTCCCGTCTGTCTGTCTACCGTCACAGATTTTTATAAAACAAATAATCTCCGAAAGTAGTGGCCCGATTGTTTGTGTTTATATTAGTAATTTAGCGCTAATCAAAATTTGTCTAATCATCCCCACCAATAATGTGATGACGTCACTTCAAAATTGTACATAGTAAATGGGCTTTAAATTGTATGAAATAACATAGTCCTAAACGTCCAGATTTTTAGAAAAAAAATCAAAATTATAAGACAACATTTTGCAATTTAATTTTTAATCTACAAATTCGAATGCCTTGAAATCTTGCAGATGTTTTAAAGGTATAATAGTCAGAAATTTTTAATCAAAATATATTTAGTTATCCCCTCCAAAAAAAGTTGATGACGTCAGTTAAAAATTTTGCCGAATAAAGCCTATCTAAATTGCAGAAAATATATATACAGGGTGACTAAAGAAAATTAATGAATCAGTCAATTTATTTTATTGAAGAAATCAAGAATTGCAAAACTGAATGCTTTGAAATCTTGCAGACGTTTCAAAGTCCTTCTAAGCATGGTAAATTGTTAATCAAAATAAATCTGTTTCCCCCAAAAAATTGATGACCTTATCTCAAAATTTTGCCCAATAAATTCTACCCAAAATGTGCAAAATATGATGAGTTTGTTCTTATGATTCATCATTGCATTAATATTTTTATTGATCAAATTAAGAACGAGTCACCCCATTTTTTGGGGGATTTTGATGTTCAATTTTTCGAACATTCTGAGCTGACTTGTTTTTTAGGTCAATGTTGGGTATCTGTTCTTTTTTGAAAAATTTATAACAATCTTGAAGTTCTAGGTATTTCTGTGTGCAAGGAATTTGAAAGTACTTTGGAGCCTCTAGTGTCTTTTCTTATAATAATTTAATTAAATTTCTTAGCATACGTCACTTAAGTCATACCGCATTTGCCAAAATCAGTCTTATCTTAGCAGGTACTAGCCCCGCCCACCCACCCTCTCTTTTCTTACAGGGTATATCATTTGCCAAAATTAGTTTTATCTTAGCTAATAGTTGCTAAGTGATTTCAGTCACCAACCTTACTCAGAAATCAGAAAATAAGCCCGAGGTATTCACGCATTAGGTGCGTGCAGTTCTGCCAATTTTACTTTTATAAAATTACGTTTTTTTCGTAATCTACAACATAAATAATTTTTTTGTGATTTTTTTTGGGACTCCCGAAACCCCCGTACATAGCGTACTCAAGATTTAATCCGCAATTTTCCAGATACCCGGTATAAAGGTTATCAGAAAACGAATTTTTTTTATAATTATTCAAAGAAGCAGAATTTGTTGGACTGTACTTCAAGAGCAAGGGAAGTTCTGTCGAAGTAACCTTGGACCAATTTTTTTACATGTTTTCGAAACCACGAAACGAATTTCCAATTTTAAGTTTCCCCTGTGTGCTGAAAAATTTTTAATATATTTATTTGAAGAAATACAACGAAACTAAGTACAGTTTCATGATTCTGGAAACATTGGACATAATAATAACCTCATTTACAACAGATTCGATAAATTTTAATTTTTTTGATCAAAATGGTGGAGGCGCCGGGATAATACCGTAGTCAAAATATTTTTTATTTCAAAACTATATATAAAAATTATGTTTGAAACCATAGCTTCGAGAAGAAAAAATCCTTTTAGTATCCGGATTTTCGAATAAATAATATATACAACCAGCACAGATTTGATTTTACATAAATACTACTTCATTTTTAGTCGATTCGATGAGCTTATATTTTTCAATCAAAATCGTAGATGCACCTGGATAATAAATAAACAAAATTTATTTAAATTATGCATTATACATGATAACAACTTTCAAGAAAACATTTATCACAAACACTTAATAATAATAATAATAATAATATAAAATATATTTATAATTACAATTATTCATTTCTCGAACTAAGTTGGTATAGAAGAGCAAAATAAGACCAGGCTGTTTTGAGAATCTGGAAAATTAAATGCTTAAATTTACTAAATTGGGCAAAATTGTCAAACTTACTCTCATAAATGTATCTAAAGAAAGGTAAAAAACATTGAAAGCGGATATCTTGATCGGCTTAATTACTTTCATAGTAAAAATTAATAAATTCTTTTTAACATCTTCAGGCAATTCAATCCAGTCCGACTCAAATGCTGCATAGGAAACCAAATTGCTCTGCAAAAAAGTCATAAAAACTTAGGAAACCTCTAATAAAATTTCCATAGATAGTTGATCATGATTGTCAAACTGTATATTTTGAGACAAAAATACAACGATAAAAGACAAACTTTCAGAAATTCATGAATATTTTTGGCTTACCCTCACTTCTACCTCGTTTCCAAACCAACAGTACATAAAAATCTGGATAGTAATGGCAAGTCCATACGAAAGAAGCGAATAGAATTCGTTAGAAAATGGCACCACCTGGAATCATTTACTAACAAAACACCAAATATATCGACATAATTCACCAAAGTTAACTGAAACATCGTTATTCCAATGGATACGCCACTCATAATCAAGTGCCAGAAAAGAATCCAGTTAGAAAATTCGCTACAACCTTCCACAAAACTAAAAAAGTACGTAAAATTTTGTTAACCAAAAGTTCGCTGTTCTTATTAAACCTACCTTAAAATTCGCTTATGATGCAAAACACACTTTATCAAACTCTTATTAACGTCGTTTGATATGCTGCTAATATTTCTTAAGTTATCACTCAATATATCAAACTGACATCTCGTATATACATTAAAACCAGATATAAGAGTATCAACATTGATATGAATCAAAGTCAAGTAACTTGTACTAACCACTTGGAAACAATACGTAATTTCGTAGAAAGGTGAGATTCTATAATCATATGGATACCACGCCAGAAATGGTAAACGTTTCTCTTCCCCAGACGCATCCAGAAGTGGATAAATCATCCAGAACGTGTTACACGCCAGACACATAACTAACAACATTTTGTAAATAGATTTCCAAAACTTGATACTCGGTTCTATCAAAACCGTTTGACTGTGATTCCTCGGTTGAAACCAATCGCTTTTCAAAACAGTGATTCGCCCCTTGAGAATTTCCATGTTCTTTATCACGTAGAAAACTTTGCAAATTGCCATAAATTCTATCAGAATTATGTAAATGATTCCGACGACGGATTCTAAATTGTCGCGGACGAAGTAAATGTTGATAACTTGTGCAGAAATGTGGCATGCAACGAAAAGCATGACCACGAGACCACAATATAACGTATAGAAACCTGATTTGTAAATTTTGTCTCCGTTTGGCCACAAGCCCATCAGTTTCATGATTTGAATGTTCATGTTAATGGTACTTTTCCAGTCGTAGTGGACTTTATCCATGATTGGCGTTAGTTGATAATAAATATCAAACAAAGATATGAAAAACTGTAACGAAAGTATATTTTCTTGTTCAAAGTTTATTTTTTTACTTACATCATAAATTGTAATATTTGAAGTATTTATCCTGTTGTTTGATTGCTTTTTACAGCCAATCATTTTTCACTTTTTTGCTTCTGCGCAAAATATGTCGGTTATTGTATTAATTTAAAAATAATTGGGGGCTTGAACGTTTTTAATAATTTCGGTAACCGAGAGACCTTGATTTTTTATTCTCTAATACACTTATGTACGTGTCTGCATGGATATTATTTTGCGTTCGTTTGTATATTTTGGCAAACTCAAAACTCAAGGACACACGTTTGAATAAAAACTGTCTCCTTGAACTAATACGACCCTAAAATACTGAAATGCATTTTTTTATTTCATTAACAACCTAACAATTATGGTTTGTATTATTAACACGTTTTGGTCTTACTTAACAACTCAGGACAAAAATTAAATTTTTCGTAGAGTAAAAGCTGTAATTAAGGTGTCACTAGTAAAGACGAAAACAACTAATTAAATTTTTCTTTGAATATTTTTCCCTGTTCAGAACAATTAATTGGCATCAGAGAATAATTAATTAGAAAATTATATACATTATTAATGGACAGAAACGTTAAACGCGTAATTATCCAATTACTGAAATACACCCCAAAATTTATTGTTGTTGAGTCTTTAGTGCATTAGACATTTGCCCATGAAGTGGTGTTTTCATCCGTCACAGTAGTTTCTTTGGTAAGCAATTTTTATCACAGTTTGTTGTGTTCTTATGCTAATTTAAAAATTTTCCTTTGGAATTAACAACCAATTTTTGCTTGACAGCATCGAAGTTGTGATGTTATTCGTGTTAACATGTATTTTTAGAATACTAACAGATGTCATATTTTTACAAAAAAAAATTGCTTATACTCTATTTTTCTATACTCTAGAATCTGGCGAAAACATCGGGAACACCCTTAAGCGTACTTTGTACTTTATTGAAAGATGAAAAAAGTCTTTTCAATGTAGACTACATAAGAATAATATTTGTATAACAGTAAATTAAGAAACGTTGAACGTACGTAATGCATATAGAAATGGACCATTAAACAATCCCCAGCAACAATTTGATGACGTCACCTCAAAGATTTGCATCGTGAATGCTATTTAAAACTTATAAAATAGCATACATCTGTATTTGTGGCCTCTGACGAAGGACCAACTTGCCCAGACGATTAGAGTTGCGAGTTCGATTCCCTCATGGATCACTTTTTTCCTTATATTGTGACTGGTATATTTTTCAAATAATCTGTATTTGTTTGATTGTACTTCAGAGACAAGGAAAATTCCGTCTAATGGTCTAAAAACATTCGACAATTGTATTAATAGAACATTTTTGTACTTTAACAGATTCCATAATATTTAAAAAGGGAGAAAAAATTAAATCAGGCACAAAAATTTTTTTGATCAACATTTTTAAAAATATTTGATTTTATAGAAAAAACGTCTTTCATCTGTGTTCAAATCGGACTTATTACCAAATGTTAGATGTAAGTTAGATGGTAAAACGACAACCAAAATTTGTCTTATCATCCCACTCACAATTTGATGACGTCACTACAACATTTTGCAATAGTGAATGCTAATTAAATTTTATTAAATAACATAATCCTGGACTTGTGGATTATGAATCCGCCTTGATTTTTTACCCTAAGGAACCATACTTTCACAAAATTAATCAAAATTGTATATCAACATTATCCAACTTTGAAAATTGCAAAAACTAATGCTCTGAAATCTCTCAATTTTCATCAAATTTCTATAATATCGATAGAGCAATAAAAAACCCAATCAAAGAAAGCCATGCATTTTTAAATGTCACCTTTAATGATTGCATTTTTAAGTTAAGTTTTCAGACTCCAATTTGTCAAGACGAAAATTTTATCGAATACAAATCTTCAAAAATCCATGGCTGTCTTTGATCCTTTTTTTATTGCTCTTTCATTATCATAGGAACAAGTGTCTATTGTCTACACTTTTTTTCTAAAAATGTCCGCTTATTTATGACTGATTTTCACTTCCCTAGCGTAAGCGAAGGAAAATTCTAATCGAGTCCGTCAGCCGACTCTCTACTTTTACGTTTTCTCGACCTTTCATGACCCTTAGAGTACGAGGAAATGGGTCTCCCTTTTCCGTCTGTCTGTCTGTTCGTCTGTCTATCTGCCTGTCTGTGTGAGTCTACCGTCCCGATTTTTATTAGACAGATAATCTCCGAAAGTAGTAAATGGGTTTTAAATTGTATGAAATAACATAGTCCTACATATGTAGTTTATGATTCCCTATTGAGTTTTTACCCGAAACGTCCAGATTTTTGAAAAAAAATCAAAATTATAAAACCACATTTTCCAATTTAATTTTGAATCTGCAAAACCGAATGCTTTGGAATCTTGCAGATGTTTTACAGTTACGATAAGCATGATAAATGTTTAATCAAAATATATTTACTTATCCCCTCCAAAAAGTTGATGACGTCAGCTAAAAATTTTTTCGAATAGATCCGATCTAAATTGGACAAAACATGATGAGTTTGTCCTTGTAATTTATCATTCCATTCATATTTTTTGGATGTGCATATACAGGATGACACAAAAAAATTAATGAATGCTTTGAAATTTTGGACATCTTTTAAAGTTATCATAAGCATGGTAAATTTTTGATCCATAAATCCTATTTGAAATATGCAAAATATTTTTTAGATTTGCTTATACGGGGTGTTTTAAAAAAATTAATGCCTGAGTCAGTTTATTTTATAGATTAAATCAGGAACGGCTCACTCCATTTTCCCAGAAAATTTTGGAAATACAATACTGCTATTTTTCAATTTCCACTTTGCACTAAATAAAATAAATCAGCGAAATGGAGAAAGGAGGTGGGGGGAGCTATATATTTAGTTTTTTTGTAGTTTTATAATCAAGTAGTAGCTCCACCTACACACCCCATCTTCATTCCTATGACTACTTTTAATATTGTTCAGTCCTATCATAGCAAGTTTTAGCCCCACCCACCCACCCTTTTTTTTCTTAGAGGATGTCATTTACCAAAATCAATCTTATCTTAACAAGTACTAGCCCCGCCCACCCGCCCTCTATTTTCTTAAAAAGTATGTCATTTATCACAATCAGTCTTATCTTAGGAAGTACTAGCCCCTTCCCAACCACCCTTTATTTTCTTGGAGGGTATGTCATTTACCAAAATCAATTTTATCTTAGCAGGTACTAGCCCTGCCCACACACGCTGTTCTCATTCTAACTATTTTATATCTCTTTAGTTGAGAACTACCTTTCATTCCGACTAGACAAACTGAATCTCAGAAATGGAGGCGGGGTGGGTGGGCGTGCTGAATTGTATGTATAAAAAAAAGCGTTAATCGGAATTTTTTTGTTATACTACTTATTTGCTATAACATTTATTTCTTATTTCTGAAGAAAGAAATGAGAGAACGGGTGGGTGAGGGGGGCTAAGTTTAACGTTTTCCTACAGAATCCACCCACCCCCTTTTCATTTCAGTGATTACTCTTTAATATTGCTCAGTCATTTACCAAAATCACTCTTATTTTAACAAATAATAGCTCCGCCCACCCGCCCTCTATTTCCTTAGGAGGTATGTAATTTGCCAAAATCAGTCTTATCTTGGCAAGTACTACGCTGGACTAATCCAAATTGATATACGTGTCCTTGCAAAAATGTTGATGACGTCATCACAAAATTATGTAATGTAAAAAGTCATATCGAAAATGCTGCGAGGGAAGTTGTGTCGAAACAATTTTGGATCAATTTTTGTAAGTATTGTTGAGGCAGATCATAAGAGAATTAAGCTTTAATAATTAAGTATTTTAAAATATGTAAGGATTTTTATTATTGAAAACAATATTATAATTACAAGTGTGGTAACACAATTTTAACGTTACCAAAATTCATGCGAGATAATTTTTTCTATGATTGCCGTTTTTGAAGTCAGATGAATTTCAGCTTTATCCACCCACACTAATAACTACTTTTCATTTAGCTGAATCAGCAGAGCAAAGTATGAACCAGCTGTTTTGAGAATCTAGAAATATATTACTAGAAAAAATCATATAACAAATTTGGGATCAACTTACTCGTGTAAACGTGTCCAACGATAGTTGTAGAACATTGAAGACAGATATTCTTATAGGCTTTAAAACGTTTGTGATGAAAATTATTAAATTTTTCTTTACATCTTCGGGTAAATCTGTCCAATCAGACTCGAAAACAGCGTAGGAAACGAGATTACTCTATAAAAATATAAAAAAAAAATAGTTTTGAAAATTTTTAAGCTATACTTTCTTTCAGCAGGCAATAGTTTTGAAACACTTTTGATATACGTATTTTTTCATAAAAAAAATGTAAAGACGTAGTACTCACCTTAACCTCTACTTCATTGCCAAACCAGCAGTACATAAATATTTGCACAAGTATTGCAAGACCATACCACAGTACTGAAAAAAATTCGCTGGACATTGGTTTAACCTAAAACATTTAACATTAAAACTTTAAACAAAATTTGTTGCAATCATACTAAAGTTAGCTGAAACATCGTTATCCCAATTGCGACGCCACTGATTATCAAATGCCAGAAAAGAATAATGTTGAAGAACTTATTGCAACCATCAACAAAACTACAAACAAAGTTACTCACAAATAAAGGAAGTTTGCCATTTTAGTTACCTCAAAATTTGTTTGTGATAGATGATACATTTTATCAAATTGTCTCCAGCATTGTCATAATTTTCCGCCATTGCAATACGTCTCAGATTGTCACTCAACATATCCAACTGACACCCAATATACACATTGAAACCAGATATCAACGTATCCACATTTGTCTGAACTAGTGTACAATAAACGGTACTGGATAGTTGATAAATATACGCTATTTCAAAATATGGTGACTCGCTGCAGTCAATCGGATACCAAGCTAAAAAAGGCAAAGTTTTCTCTTCACTTTGCTGTATCACAAGAGGTATCAACCAAAAAAAGTTGCAGCCTAAACAAGCAACAATAAACATTTTATACACAAGTTTCCAGAAAGTGATACTGGGTTCAATCATCAACGTTTGTTGTCGATCTTTCGGCTGAAACCAGTCAGCTTTCAAATTTTCCATGCGTTCTTTAATGATCTTCATTCTCGTTATGACGAAATAAACTTTAATCAGTGCCATGATTTCGATGAGCGTTATGTATATTATTCCAACCACTGTTTCCAGATCGTCAAGAACGAAGTAAATATCTGCTAGTTCTGATAAAATGTGGCACGTGGGGAACAAAGTTACCATGAATGCGGAATAAAGCATGTAGAAACCTGGTTTATAAGTTCCTTCGCCCTCTGGCCATAAACCCATTTTTCTCAATATGCGAATATTTATGTCAAAGTTGCCTTTCCAGTTGTACTGTTCGACTTTGCCCATCTTTATTCTTGACTTACTAAAATACCACTAAATGATTTCACAATTTTATTCTCTGTGTATTTCATTAGAGACAAGAACGCTTTATATGTACCAATGAAATAAATATCTCAGTGGCCCATTTGCCTCATTTCTAAGTGCTTATTATTTTTTGTATAATTAAAGCCAATCCATCGAATATTTCCTGACGAGAATCATTTTTGGCTAATTGATTGGTATTAATACGGCCGTAACCACTAATTAGATTTTTTTATACTTGTTTCGTTTTTCTTTCATGAGTAATTACGTGATGTGAAATTGCTGGAGACATGTTTTATTAATAAGCAGAAGCAATTAATAGGGTGGTTACCTAACTCCAGGCACCCCTTCAATTTATTTGTTAGAAGAGATATTTATATTATTGTTTTCAAAAAACTACGTTCAGTTTACACAAGAAACTGAATCACTACTAGGTATGTTGGAAACTTTCATAATTATAAAGCTACACAGTGTGTGCAAAAATTAATAAAAAATGAAAACGACAATTCAGACGAATAAATGAGCACAGGTACTATTACAAAATAGATTTCCACTGTTTTATATTTTATTTTCTTTTTTTGGTCTTTTAGGTTTGTTACAAGTAAGTTGAAATATATAAATATAAGAAGCAAATAATTTTTTTTAGGTAACAGTTATATCGTCCTTTCTTACTTTTCCTTTCCCTCAAAAAACTTATTATTGTTATTACGACCAAAAATAAAGGACCTATATTGTGTTTCAAAATGGGGGAATGTTCCTGAAAATGTGAAGTGTGATATTAGAGACACCAAAGAATCTTAGAATGAATGTTTTAACAGGTCAGTGGTCATTAAAAATTAGTACGAAAACTGTCGGCATTTGGATCTGTTTTGATAAAGATACATACGCTTATTTCAATAAAATTTGTTTAATGTTGTATTTAGAGAAAAAATTGACGAAAATTACGTCAATTTGACGTTAACCTTCAGAAACAAAATATCGATTTAGACCGACAAATCAAAAGCTCTAAAAATTAGCGCCCTTGTTCAATTCACCCTGAACAATTTTTAATTTTTTGTTACATTATAAAATGAAGAAACCTAAGAATTTTTTAATTTATTTTTTCTCTGTTCTAAAGATAGTCGTCAATAACGTGTCATAGAGTTGGTTCGCCATTTTTTCAGCACCCTGTATGTATTTAAAGCTATACTTTTTAACGCTTATCTCGTACACAATTCCGTAATAAGGTCGAGACAAAAATGGTGGATGCGCCGGGTTAATCGGGATTAAACCCAAAGACTGAAATTTCATTCATTCAACAAGAATATTGTACAATTTTATAAATCTGTCTGTCTGTCTGTCTGTCTGCCTGACTGACTGACTGACTGTCTGTCTGCCGTCTATCCGGATTTTTTTTAAACTAGTTAAATTATTTTAACATTTTTTATGTGATTTTTTAGTCTGTTTACTATCGAAAATGTGAACTTGTTGTTTTTACTATTTACGTTATAAATCTTTTATCGACACTATTTTTTTTTATATTATTAACCTGTGAATGTAGCGAAAAAAAATTGGCCCAAATCTAGAGCTTCCGTTTATTTTTTCGAATTCAATAATGTCAAAAACCTATTTTTTATTATTACTTTTTAAATACACTGCCAAACAAAAAAACCGCAGACACTTGAATATTTGTACGTTTACGCTAATGTTTAGTGTGATATCTTTTTTTACTTTTTTTCTGTTTCCACATGTTTTAGAATAAATTTATGTTTTCTGTTATTAAGTACAGCCATATTTTGCTTTTTGTAATATTTTTTACAAAATTTCGACCAATTGCAAGTAATTACAAAAATTCAAGTGTCCCGGTTTTTTGTCTGGCAGTGTATAATATATGTATTCCTATATTTGTTCATAGTTGATCCCTTTTTTAATGTAGACATTTCGACAGAACTTCCCTCGCCCTGGAGATACAAATCCACAACCCCGCTTCTTAAAAAAAAAACAATATTCGATTTTGCGAAATTTGACTTGGGATAACTTCTACTTGTTAAAAAGTGTATAGGTAATAGCAGTGCGATTCTAAGAAACAAAAAAGCCCAGGAGAGAAATGTTTCTTTACAATTTCAGTTTTTAGCGAAAATTTGGATACCTCTGGCAAAACCTCAAGGCGAATTCATAAACCACAAGTACAGGAGTATGTTACTTTATGAAATTTAAATTCTTGTTATTATACAAAATTTTGAGGGGATGTCGTCACATTGTTAAGTGGGTATGAACAGATAAATTAATTCGCTAATTGATGTACAAACCTTTATTAATAGTAACAAAGGTAAATAAAATCTGAAATTGATTTTTATTTTGAACGAGTTATAATATAGGGTATAATACAAAATATTTAGAAAAAAACTAGAAACATTATCTTCAAATAGTCAAATTTTGAATGTACCATTATATACTTTATTTTAAACGAAAATAAGGGTCAATGAATACAGAGTTATAGACTAGGTCCTAATACTATTCCTCAAGAAACTGTACATGCTTGTGTTCTACTTTGTATGAATTTTTAAATGTTTTCAGTGACAATTTTTGTGGTTATTTTAGAGATGACGTATGATATTAACACTGAGAAAAAAAAATTAAAATAATCGACAATTTGAAAAAGCAAAAACCTGAAAAATCGAAAAATCTAAAAATCGAAAAGTTGAAAAAATCGAAAACCCAGAAAAAACGGAACATCAAAAGATTGAAAAAATTAAAAATTCGAAAAACGAAAAATCGAAAAATCAAAACTCCTAAATTTAAAAACTCTAAAAACTCTAAAAATTGAAAAATCGGATAATTGAAAATCGAAACATCGAAAAAAATGGCAAAACGAAAAACCGAGAAATCGAAAATTCGAAAATTGAGAAATCGAGAAGTCGAAAAGTTGAAAAATTGAAAAACCGAAATAGACCAAAATCGGAACATCGAAAAGTTAAAAATTGAAAAATTGATAAATCGAGACACTGAACAATCAAAACATCGAAACATCCCAAACTCGATAAATCGAGAAATCAAAAAATTTTAATTTTCGAAAAATTGAAAAATTGAAATACTGAGAAATCGAAAGATCATAAGATCGAAAAATCGAACAGTCATGAAGTCGAAAAATTGAGAAACCTCAATGGTCCAAAATCGCAAAAGCGAAAAGTTAAAAATTGAAAAATTGAAAAATCTAAAGCGAAAAAATAAAAAGATGCAAAAATGGAAAAGCTAAAAACCAAAATAGGCCAAAATAAAAAATCGAAAAATTATAAATTGAAAGAGTCATAAATCGAGAAACTCAACAATCATAAAATTTAAAAACCACAATCTAAAACCGGGAAGTCGAAAAATTGAAAGATTAAGAAATCGAAACATTTGAAAAATTCGAAAATTTGAAAAATTGAAATATCAAAGAACTGGAATGAAATTTCGAAAAAGTAAAAAAATCGACACATTTAAAAATCCAGACGTCAAAAATTGAAAATTCGAAAAATCCCTAAACTAAAATATCGAAAAACTGAAAAACGAAAGAAAAACTGAAGAACGGAAAAACTGATATGTCCAAAAAGTGAGAATCTAAAAAATTTAAAAATCGAGAAATCGAAAAATCAAAAAAATGAAGCCGATATATCAAAATCCTAAAAGAATCGAAAAATTTAAAAATCAAAAACCTGAAAAATCGGAAAACTGAAGAATTGAAAATCATTGAAAAATCGAAAAATTGATTAACTCTTAAGAAATCTGAAAAATCCCAAAACTGAAATATCTAAAAACTGAGATATTAAAAAATTGAAAAAATTGAGAAATCAAAAAAGTGAAATCGAAAAATCGAAGCCTTAAAAATTTTAAAAAGCTGAAAAACCAAAAACTTGAAAAATTGAAGAATTGAAGAAATGAAAAATCGAAAAACTGAAATTTCGAAAAATTGAAAAATGAAAGAAAAACTTAAGAATGGAAAAATTGAAATATCTAAAAACTGAGAAATTCAAAAATTGAAAAAATTGAGAAATCAAAAAAGTGAAGTCGAAAAATCGAAACCTTAAAAATTTTAGAAAACTGAAAAACCAACAACTTAAAAAGTTGAAAAATTGAAGAACTGAAGAAATGAAAAATCGAAAAATTGAATATTAAATGTACCGAAAAATCCTATAACTGAAATTTCGAAAAATTGAAAAATGAAAGACTAACTAAAATATCCTTAAACTCAAACATCCAAAAAATGAGAAATTAAAAAATTGAAAACTTGAGAAATCAAAAAAGTGAAGCCGAAAAGTCGAAACCTTAAAAATTTTAGAAAACTGAAAAACCAACAACTTAAAAAGTTGAAAAATTGAAGAATTGAAGAAATGAAAAATCGAAAAATTGAATAGTAAATGTACTGAAAAATCCTATAACTGAAATTTCGAAAAATTGAAAAATGAAAGACAAACTAAAGTATACTTAAACTCAAACATCCAAAAAATGAGAAATTAAAAAATTGAAAACTTGAGAAATCAAAAAAGTGAAATTGAAAAATCGAAACCTTAAAAATTTTAAAAAGCTGAAAAACCAAAACCTTAAAAAATTGAAAAATTGAAGAATTGAAGAAATGAAAAATCGAAAAACTGATAATCGTGAAATTGAAATATTGAGAAATTGTAAAATCAAAAAATTGAATAATAAATAAACTGAAATTTCGAAAAATTGAAAAATGAAAGACAAACTAAAATATCCTTAAACTCAAACATCCAAAAAATAAATTAAAAAATTGAAAACTTGACAAATCGAAAAATCAAAAAGTGAAACCGTAAAATCGAAGCCTTAAAAATTTTAAAAAGCTGAAAAACCAAAACCTTAAAAAATAGAAAAATTGAAGAATTGAAGTAATGAAAAATGGAAAAACTGAAATTTCGAAAAATTGAAAAACGAAAGAAAAACTTAAGAATGGAAAAATTGAAATATTTAAAAACTGAGAAATTAAAAAATTGAAAAAATTGAGAAAT